CAGAATGACACAAACACAAATTTCCGTTATGTTTTATTTAGTTTTTAGTAAATACAAAGGTGATGTTGACAATTATAGCTATGGCAACGTCCGCTCCGAGACCGCAACGCGACCACCGCCTCAACTGCACAAAACGATTCCACTACAAGAGAAAGCGGCAGCTGCGCGGCGATTCCACCGCTTGCCGCGTCCCGTGTGAAAGGGCCTTTAGAGTGAGCAGAGGCGGCGGGCTTGAGAATGGCGCGGCCGGCAATTTCGACGAAGGAGCGTCTGGAAGGACATGTGACGACCCCGGGCTGGCATAAACACATTTCATTACATCAAATACACAAAATACTGTTCTTTTTAGCAGCATCATATGACCCCTTTAAGACATTTATAATGTTACAAATGATTTATATTTCAAATAAATGCTGTTCTTTGGAAATTTCTATTCATCAAAGAATCCCCCAAAAAATTAATTATCAGAATTTCCACAAAAATATCAAGCAGCAAAATGGTTTTTAACATCGATAATAATGACTTCTGAAGGATCATGTGACACTGAAGGCTGGAGTAGCTAATGGCTGCTGAAAATCCAGCTTTGCGTCACAGGAATAAATTCTATTTTAAAATAAAATAGCAAACAGTTATTTTAAATTGCAAAAATATTTCACAATATTACTATTATCACTAGTACTACTGTTTTTTAATCAAATAAATGCAACCTTGGTATTATATTTATTTAAATTGTTATATTAGCCTAAATTTGATGTTTTTTATTTTATATTTATTTTATAATTTTATTTTGTGCTCTGTTGTCTTTCTATAGAAGAGAAAGAATCTAAAAAAGTATTGTGTGCTCACACATACAGAAAGATGCTACAAACGTAGTATTGGCCAGCAGTATGTGAGTGTATAAACAACAAAGGCAAATGGAGAGCTCCGCTTGGCTTAACCTGCTCTGCACTGTGTGTAAGAGCAGCAACAGATTTGATCCTCTCAGCCCATCTCTCTCTCTCTGTCGCTCTGCACCATAGGATGCATGTATGCTCATTTCAGCTCATCGATTGTCCTGCTCTTAAACAGAAGATGCATTCTTCCATCACTGACCTCCCCCCACCCCCCACCTCCGGAGTGTTATTCTGAGACAAGACATCACGCCATGTTGGGTCACAGAAAGCTGCCGTGTTTATAGTGTCAATACGGTGATGTTTGTTTGGTTTATTGATTAAAGAATCACTGAATGTTACTGCCTGTAAAAAGGTTTTTATTTGTTTTGAGGTCTTATGCATGTTGTGTTTTACTGTCCATTCACTGACCGAGCATGAATCTGATTCGCTGACTTTACGCAACTTCCGTAAGTTTTCAGTTTTTTTTTTTACTTTAAACCGCATAAACACATTTCATTACATCAAATACACAAAATACTGTTCTTTTTAGCAGCATCATATGACCCCTTTAAGACATTTATAATGTTACAAATGATTTATATTTCAAATAAATGCTGTTCTTTGGAAATTTCTATTCATCAAAGAATCCCCCAAAAAATTAATTATCAGAATTTCCACAAAAATATCAAGCAGCAAAATGGTTTTTAACATCGATAATAATGACTTCTGAAGGATCATGTGACACTGAAGGCTGGAGTAGCTAATGGCTGCTGAAAATCCAGCTTTGCGTCACAGGAATAAATTCTATTTTAAAATAAAATAGCAAACAGTTATTTTAAATTGCAAAAATATTTCACAATATTACTATTATCACTAGTACTACTGTTTTTTAATCAAATAAATGCAACCTTGGTATTATATTTATTTAAATTGTTATATTAGCCTAAATTTGATGTTTTTTATTTTATATTTATTTTATAATTTTATTTTGTGCTCTGTTGTCTTTCTATAGAAGAGAAAGAATCTAAAAAAGTATTGTGTGCTCACACATACAGAAAGATGCTACAAACGTAGTATTGGCCAGCAGTATGTGAGTGTATAAACAACAAAGGCAAATGGAGAGCTCCGCTTGGCTTAACCTGCTCTGCACTGTGTGTAAGAGCAGCAACAGATTTGATCCTCTCAGCCCATCTCTCTCTCTCTGTCGCTCTGCACCATAGGATGCATGTATGCTCATTTCAGCTCATCGATTGTCCTGCTCTTAAACAGAAGATGCATTCTTCCATCACCAACCTCCCCCCACCCCCCACCTCCGGAGTGTTATTCTGAGACAAGACATCACGCCATGTTGGGTCACAGAAAGCTGCCGTGTTTATAGTGTCAATACGGTGATGTTTGTTTGGTTTATTGATTAAAGAATCACTGAATGTTACTGCCTGTAAAAAGGTTTTTATTTGTTTTGAGGTCTTATGCATGTTGTGTTTTACTGTCCATTCACTGACCGAGCATGAATCTGATTCGCTGACTTTACGCAACTTCCGTAAGTTTTCAGTCCAAGAAACAGTCATTTTTACAAGGTACCAGTTTGATACAACAAGTAAATAATCACTGGATTTGCCGAGGTTTGCCATGTTAGTGGCCCCAAATTAATAAAAGACGTTCAGAGTTTTACATTTATTCATTTAGCAGACACTTTTATTCAAAGCGACTTACAAATGAGGAATACATCTAGCAATTCATCATAATTGGGCAAATAAACACTATAAGTGCTTGTAATACAAAGTTTAGGACATTATTTAGAAGAGTACAAGCTAGATCAGTGAGGATAACTTTTCAGTTGTTTCCTGAATATTGTCAGGATTTCTGCATTCCAGATAGGGCTGGGAAGATCATTCCACCAGCAGGGAACAGTGAACGAAAATGTCCTGGAAAGTGATTTTGTGCCTGTCTGAGATGATACCATGAATTGTTTTGTTTGCTCTTTTAGACTGCGGACTGAAAAGTAACACTCTAAATGGAAATGAAAATAAACTCAGGCTTCATCAAACTTCTCTCTGGTTACTTATGTCAGATTTCTCCAAGTCATTTAGTTCACTAAAACACTGCTTCTTTTTACAATCAACATCAAGCTTGCATTCAGATCCGCCTCCATCCAATCAACAACCAATGAACAGAACCAAGTCCTGCCCTACATTTTTTTTTTTTTTCAATAATCTTGTTAATTCGGATGAACGTCACAACACAGAAGAAAAAATCTGTCACTACTTATGTTTCATCACAACTTTAAGATGTTTTTTTCTAAAGGGTTAGTAGCACAAATAAAGTTAGAAGAACTTTATATTTCAGAGTTGTATCTGTGAAATTAGTTTTATTTATTTATTGGGCCAAGCAGAAATTCTGAGTTGTTTCCCTATATCTGAACAAATTTTCACCGCTTCTTCTGTTTTATTGATTTATTGAAAGAAATTATTTTCGTGGTACAATCTATTTCAGATAAACAACAACAAAAAATGAATATAGATCTGCTTGTTTGCTTTATATGTATATATAATGTAACTTTACATTAAGTCAGATCATGATTTTAGGGAAGTTCATGGCTGTAGTAAATTCAGCAGTGTTATGAAACATCCAGCAGAGCGACTGACTTAACCAACATCTTCTAAATTTACTTGGAGAGATCATTGGAGAGAAAGAATAGGCCTGGTAATGTCTGCTTTTTATGATTCTTATGAAAGCATTGTTTGGTTTGCACATGCATTTGGCTGAAACCTGAGACATGTCCATTAATCTCAGTTGTTTAGCTCTCACGGCCATTTTGCTGTACTGACACGTTTTAATGCTCCAAACGCGCGCTAAGAATTAGCCGGGCCTTGTCTTGCTCTAACAGCCTTTTACACTGTATCATATCTTGAGGATTCACTTAAGGCCTGCAAAGCATTGATTCATTTTAGTTGATTACTAGCAGAGTTTTTTGAGTGTTGAAGTTGAGTGCATTCAGTTGTTTATGATGTACAAGTTACATAATGTGAAGTTCAGTAAAGCATATGTGCCTGATTTCATCAGTGTCTGGCAAACAAATCTGCCCTCTGGGGTAAAGTACAGGATAGTTTTTGCCATTGCTTTATCATAACACACTCCATATCTGAATACCCAGGGAACAAATTTAGGTATTAAAACATTGTTAGAACATTGTTTGGAAATGTTTCTAAAACATTGAAATGTCATTTTCTTGTTGCGAATAGAATGTTATTTAAAAGTTACAAAAACGTTTCTTACAACATTCGACAAACTTTATTTTCACCCAAAATATAACGTTACTTAAATGTTTATCTTTAATATTCTAACTAAAAATTAAAAAATGTCCTGTTTTCCTGGTGTGATTAGAATGTTATTTTAAATTTACAAAAACGTTTCTAACAACATTCTACTAACTTAATTTTCACCCAAAATATTATGTTATTTAAATGTTTCTTTAATACTCTAAGAATGTTAAAATGTTAGTTTTCCTGGTGTGATTAGAATGTTGTTTAAAGGTTACAAAAACGTTTTCAACAACATTCTACTAACTTTATTTTCATTGTTGTTTATTTTTTATAATTCAGTTTACTTATCATGTTTATAACATTATTTAACGGTTACAATGTTCTAATATTATTTAAGTAATAACAAATATTACTAAAGAAAGTTTCATAAACATTACTTTAAGAATGTTTTGTCCTAACATTTATAGGGGGAAAAAAGCTACATTTTTTAGAAAGTTCCCTGTCAGCTTGCAGAAAATCGAACCTGGTCCAAATTTTTTTATGACGAACGAAAGTTTCGGTGGCAGTGTGCAAACGTGATTGACACAACGTGCTGTCGTATTTATTTTTCAACGTGCGAATATTTCGGACTCGGTGTGCAATGGCCTTTAGTATGAAAATCAGTTGTTAATTTTCACTTTTAATATTGTATTTCTGTACCAATTGATAGGATTCAGTTTACAGAATTATTCGATTTTTTTCCTTGAGAAAAATGTACATGTTCTTAACCTGGTATATTTCCAAATGAATCAAACTCAAATCTGAAATTTATCTCAATACCCAGCCCTACATCTGAACATATCTGTAACATGTCTTTCTTCTCCAGGCGGGGGCCTCCTCTATGTGGGCATCATGTTGCGGGCTGCTGAACGAGGTGATGGGCACAGGGGCGGTCCGCACCCAGCAGCCGGGCTTTGGAACCGGAGCCGGGCCGTTCCGCTTCGCCCCCAGCGCTGGTTACTCCACCTACCCACCCAGCAGCACCACCTCAGGAAGCGCAGGCCTGGCGTGCAAAGCCTGCGGACTGGCCTTCTCCGTGTTCAGACGAAAGGTAGGACACCTGAGGTTTGTGGAGTATGATTTTAGGAGTTTTGTCTTTTTTTTTTGATAGTGAAAGTAGAGAGATGAGATAAATGACAAGGAAAAGAGAGCGGGAAGTTACATTGATGAAATTCCAACCCACATATTCCACACAATGTGTGTGTTTAGAACATACACAACCACTAGTCTAAAGCTCTGATGGGTCAGAATTCTTAAATCAAAAATTGGTGATAATATCTCATTGACAAATTTTGGATAAACAACATGCTAAACAATAAATAATATTATTTGTTAAACCTTATGTTTATTTTTTACTTTTTATTTATTATTTTACTATTGAGGTTTTTAAATACATTTTATTTTATTTAAATACTATTTATTTAAATACTCTATCAGTTCTGAATAATTCAGTCCATGAATTAAACAGCGACTGCGTTCTTTTCAGAATGATTCTTAAGTTAGTTCATCTGACTCACTAAAAAGAACCACACCAATCAAATTATTTGCTTGCAGAGTGGACATGCATTGCATGTTAATTTTATATGTGCAGCAGTTAGTGATGTCAACACAATGGAAAGTTATAGAATTATGGAATAGATACAGATTAAATTTTTTCTCAGATTAGTGTTTTTACTGGCAATTTTTTTTTTTTTTTATATATTTATATTTTTGTAGTGTTTAATTCATATCATATATAATACACGCACACACTTCTGTTCAAAATTGTCAATTTTCAGTATGATTTTTTTGATAAAAAATAATAATAAATGTTTTTTGAGCAGCAAATCAGCACATTTGATTTATGAAGAATCATGTAACACTGAAGACTGGACTAATGGCTGCTAAATGTATTAAAAATAAAACAATTATTTTAAATAGAAATATTATTAAATATTATATAAGTTATATTAAGTTTTTACTATATTTTGATATATAACAGTATTGCTCCTCACTAGAGGTGGAGGAAACACTGATCTGCCTCCTAAGTCTGGCATTCTGACAGGAGTGATGAAAGATCAGAGCGTTAACTTTTCCACAAAGCATCAGTGTTTTGAAATCCTATCAGCACTTTCACACCTGTCTGCAGACACTCGGATGCCCAGACCGTGTGATGCATCTGCAGACGCTCACACCAGCACACATATGCAGAGATGTGATGGATAGAACTGACATTAAGCCAGAGTGCAACGGTTTGATTGAACAGCTCATTCATCAGCATGGTGGCATTTGATAACCACCACCAGGCTTGCCGACAGAGACTCCTGCTTCTGAGAGTTCGAAAGTGTCTTGAAAAATGAAGTTCATGCCGCAGTGATTTACAGATGGAAGCGTCGGTGTTCTGTCAGTGTCAATCAACACAGCTAAAGCATGACGTAATTAAATCACCAGTCTAATGCACACATATTAGCTGGCTGTTTAATGATTCATCCTCTCTCTCTCTCTCTCTTTGCAGCACGTTTGCTCAGACTGCAAGAAGAGCTTCTGCTCGCTGTGTTCTGTGCTGCAGGAGAACCTGCGGCGCTGCTCCACCTGCCACCTGCTGTGGGGCACGGCCTTCCAGCGGCCCATGTTAATGAGACTCCGCGTTAAAGACCTGCGGCAGTACCTCACGCTGCGAAACATCAACACGGACACCTGCAGGGAGAAAGAGGACCTGGTGGACCTGGTGCTCTGCCATCTGGGTGCCGAGCTGGAGATGGGGGAGGATGAGGAGGAGGAGGAAGAGGAGGCGGAAGCGGATACGGACAGTCTGCCCTCACTTCCGCGCTCGCTCTCCACGCCGACCGCCTCCGCAGCACGATCCTCCTCCCAGCAGTCGGCGCTGTCTGTCGCCGCGTCTCAGGGAGAGGCTCTCAGTCGCAGCGATAGCTCAGGGACAACCAATCAGGTGAGGCGCTTTCCAGAAGGCAATGTGTTCCAGTGCATTTCAGTGTTCATTTGACTTCTTTTATTTACAGTTACTTTTAAATTTATTCATTTAGCAGACCCTTTTTATTCAAAGAGACTTCAAAATAAGGAACATAACAAGCATTGAAAGAAGAGAAAGAAATATTTTTTTTTTCTTTCTCTTCTTTCAATGCTTGTTATGTTCCTTATTTTGAAGTCTCTTTGAATAAAAAGTGTGACATAAAGTAAAAATCATCACAACATCAAAACAACATCACAAACAATTTGTCACAAGAGCCAAGAATATTTGCAGTATACTGTGCCAAGCGTTTTGCTTTGGTTTGTCTTTTGCATTGTTTTGTTTTGTTTTTTGTTTTAAATGTCACTTTTTAAATGGGCCAAAAATATTTAATGTTAGTTCTAAAGAATTTCATGAAAGATGTATGTTTGTTTTACTCATTTTTAACATGATTTTTAAAAGTAAAATTAACATTTTAATATAAGTCCAGTATAATGGGTCATATTTTTTTATTTACTAAAAGATGTGTGATTCAGCATTTATAATCATTATTATTTATAATTCATATTAATTATTCAATTAATTTATTATTAATTAAATGTAGTACTTAATGAGGCAATTTTAATACAAGTTTTGTAAATATATTTATTAATTTATTTATTTTACATTTAATTCTATATTTTTTATATGTGACCCTGGACCATGAAACCAGTCATAAGGGTCAGTTTTTTGAAATTGAGAATTATACATCAAATAAATAAGAATAAATAAGCTTTCCATTGATGTATGGTTTGTTAGGATAGGACAATATTTGGCCGAGATACAACTATTTGAAAATCTAGAATCTGAGGGTGCAAAAAAATCTAAATATTGAGAAAATCGCCTTTAAAGTTGTCCAAAATAAGTCCTTAGCATTGCATATAATTACTAATCAAAAATTAAGTTTTGATATATTTACGGTAGGAAATTTACAAAATATCTTTATGGAGCATGATCTTTACTTAATATCCTAATGATTTTTGGCATAAAAGAAAAATGGATAATTTTGACCCATACAATGTTTTGTTGGCTATTGCTACAAATACACCCCTGCTACTTATGACTGCTTTTGTGCTCCAGGGTCACATATAATATAAAGTTATCTGTATTTTTTATGTGATTTATTTATTTTTTAAAGGTTAAGTGTGTAATTTCTGTGCCAATAAACTGAGCAATGTTTTAAAAACACTTTTTTAGGGAATTCAACTTACAAATAACTGATGTAAAATGACAAATTACACTTCAAAAAAAAGGATTTTAACATTGAAAAAAATGACCAAAAAACTTGATTTCTAATGTAATACTTTAACATTACTGTACATTTTTGTTGCTTTGTGTTTAGCATGCTTACTTTTAACATGCGCATTGCATTTTGCGTGTTAAATGTGCTGAATAAAATCAAACAAACTAATTTAAGTCCTGTAAATATTGTTAAATATATCTGACCGCATTGTTTGACGGCTGTTGTTTTAGCTACTTCCATGTTTTTTCTCATGTCATGAGTCACGCTTCGTTGTTTTCATTTACTTAAAACGTAGCATGTTTCTGAAAACATAAAGTGAGGATTTCTTCTCAATCTTCTACATTTCTACACCATAATCTATTGACTCCTGTTGTCTGTACAGTTATTAAGCTGCTTACAACCCTCACTTACTAAAGATTCATCCATGCTGACGTGCTTTGATGCGACGTGACCGCGTGGATACTGGGAAACAGCTGTACCCCACAAGGCTAGCAATGACGTTTAAGCCTTGCCTTTTTTTTTTTTTTTTTTTAGATCTGACATGCTGAGCGGGTTACATAATGTTGGAACAGGTTGTCTGGTAATTCCTGCACGACGTGATTTAAAGTGGTCATATGATGCTTTTTTTAAAGATCATTATTGTGCACATAGTGGGGTAGATATGTGGGGGCGTGTTAGAATGAGCCGTTTTAGGGGGGCGTGGCAGAGTCTTAACTTTGATAAAGAATATCTCTTTGGTTTTGAGACGTTAGTCTTTGCAACTTCAGGGATCTTATCTATGCACAATCAGCTTGTAACACTCCAAAGAGAAAGGAAAACTTGAAATCGCATCATATGACCCCTTTAAACCACTTACAGATTAAAAGCACAGACGTTAAAGTGCAAACGAGTTTAAGAGGCAAATCGGCCTGAAAAGTGTGTGTTTGAGAAGAGACTGTGATGGTCCAGTGTGACTTCAGAGCCTGAGTTGGCAGACTGACCCGTTCATTATTAATACGCCGTCTGTATGTGGCCCATGTGTGAGATCTCAGTCCATGTGCTGACTCTCCTCATAAAGACCCAGTCATTCTTCTGCCAGACAGCAGACAGGAAGAACGCAGGGCCATTAGCTAATTGTCCTGAATGTGGCAAACCGAGAAAGAGAGAGCTAGTGAGAGACCCAAAAAAGCATACAAAAGCCGGCTGCTCCAGGACCACATGGTCCTTTTGTGAGTGACACAGGAAAGGAATTATTGCAATCAGAGTGAACGAATGATTGACTCTGTAATGTGGTGTTATTTGATGTGCAGTTTGCAGAACCAAGGGAAGCTAATTGTGAGGATGTGATGGGAAGACGGTTTGATTCAACTGCACTGACACAGAGGTTACTCATAGCTGTAAAGGAGATTTAAAGTGAATGTTACTTTTTCTTAAGTGGTCTCTTAAGAATTTCATAAAAGGCTTGTTTTTATTGCATGGTAAACACTTCCCAATTGTAGTAGAACGGATAATATTTTTATGATTTACTTTAAGTTGTGATTCAGGATTTAGAATAAAATAGATGATTTAAATTCAGTGTATTATGTAATTAGACAATTTTTGTATAATATATATATCTAAATACATTTAGGTATTGAAATATATTTATTTATTACTTACAATATTTTCAATATTTTGTAATGTATCTTAGGAGTATTTTTGTAAAGTATCTCAATTTTTATATAATATTATATTAAAATGCCGTTCTTTATTATCCTGAAAATGTATGATTTCCACAAAAATATTAAGCACAGCATTAATAATAATATGAAACATTTCCTGAGCAGCAAATCAGCATATTAGAATGATTTCTGAAGGATCATGTGACACTGAAGACTGGAGTAATGCTGAAAATTTAGCTTTGCATCACAGAAATACATTTCATTTTGAAATATATTAAAATAACACACTG